AGCATTTCTTATCAGAGTCCCAACTTTACTCAGTCCTAGCTCTACTCTACTCCCTACCCCCAGGGATGTGACCCATTCTTGTTCCTCCAGGGTGATCTTCAAGGACTCAAGCTACATAGTGCAGTGATTAGTAGTGTGTGATTCCTGTCCAAGAACCAACACACCCCACTCAGAGAAGCAGCTATACCGAGTTAGAAAAGACAACATACTTGTTTAGTGTTTTACTTAAAGTCCTTGTTAAGTGGAAGGAACTGCTCACCTTGATATACCCAATGAATAAATCTTTATTAAGGACCATTCTCTGTATGGAGATAAATGAGATACAAGCTCAGATCCTAGTGAAAGAGACAGTCATATTAATCAATGATTACATCATCACAAGAATTCCTCATTTCTCTCAGTTATGTAATCATTCTACTCTCAGGAGGTCAAGGTAGAAAGGTTATGTTGGTAAGCCCCAATGCATCCACTTCAACATCCTTCCCATCTCAGAACAGGTACAAGGGATAGGTAGGAAGAAGAGATAATAAGAAGGAAGAGGTACTATGTCTTGGCATTAGAGTCAGAAAAACCTGGCTGTGAATTCCAGCTGTACCACTTTCAATAAGAGGGGCATTAAGCAATTTCTTTAGCTTCTATAAGCCCATTTTATCGTGAGTAAAATGTGTATAAGACCTATTCCTTAGGAATTAAATGAAAAAACCAACAAGCTCAGTGAGACATAAAAGACACTCGATATAGTTGCTCCTTTCCTTTTCCCTTTATATTAATGAGAAAGGCTAAAATAGAGAGGCCATAAAAAAGACTTGACATACCAGCACCCAAAGGCTCCTAAGCCTTGGCCTAAAGACAACTGTGCAAAGGTAATGCTACCCTTAAAACTGTTTCAATAATGCTTTAAATCCAGTAGGAACTATTATGGATTGTCCATCACTATACTTTTCCACATTTGATAACCATGCTTTCCATCACACGTTGAAGTTGTCCATCAAATATTTATTTTTTAATTTACCCTCCACTTTTTAATTTCTTCTTGTAGAGGCAGGAATCATTACTTTGGTTTTATGTTTTGAAATACTTAAAAAAAAAAAAAATCAACTCCTGGCATCAACTTTGAAGAGTTTCTGCCTTCTTTAAAACTCGTGTCTCTCAGCTTCCCTAACATTGCTCTCCTGGCTATTTCTCACCAGTCTAGCAGTTCCTTCTTCATTTCTTTTGCTAGCGTCTCCTCAATCTCTAACAGACCTTTAGGCATTCTCTAGGCCCAATCCCAGACCCTATTTCTGTTCTCTTATCTACTCACTCTCCTAAGTAATTTCACCCATGACTTTGACTCTCTCTATATATATATACACACACATACTACATATATACACACACATACTTTTCATATACATACACATTTTCATATACATATATACATTTCACATACATATAAAATATATTCTGCCCCCTCTCCCTCAAAATGATTCTTGGATTAAGATGTCTTATAGGCTACTCAAACAGAATTCTTTCCTTCCCCCTGAAATCTATTCCTTCTCCAGTGTTTCCCATTTCCGGCAAGAGTAACCATCTATTCAGTGGTTCAAGTCCAAAACCTGGGAATCAGCTTCTCTTTCATTCTTACATCCAGTCCACCTACATCCAATTCACTCTGCCACCAAAGCTTATTATCTGAAACCCAAAGCATAGTAATGTAACTGCTTCCATTCTTGCCCCTGCCAATCCATTCTCCAACCAGCAGCCAGAGATGTTAAAACAAAACAGATCATGTTGCTCCCTCACACAAAATCATTCAATAACTTTCCACTACATTTATAATAAAATCTTATACTGGCCTTCTTATAGTTCTTTGGACAAATCACTCTCTCAGCTCACCACGTTCACATATGGTGTTCCTCTGACCTAGAATGTTGTTCTGCCCTATCATCAACTTATCCTTCAGCTCTCAGCTTCACTGTCACACTTCTTGAAAAAGGCCTCCCAATACACCAATTAATTAAGTTCCTATTATATCCTCACTAGCATCCTACACTTTTCTTTCATAGCACTGGAAAAAAATGTTACTTGTGGGCCGGCCCCGTGGCTTAGCAGTTAGGTGAACGCACTCCGCTGCTGGTGGCCCTGGTTCGTATCCCGGGCGCGCACCGACGCACTGCTTCTCCGGCCATGCTTGAGGCCGCGTCCCACATACAGCAACTAGAAGGATGTTCAGCTATGACATACAACTATCTACTGGACCTTTGGGGGAAAAAAATAAATAAATAAAATTTTAAAAAAAAGTTACTTGTGCAAACATTTGGTTAATGTATGTCTATATAGAGTCAGTATCTGTTTTGCTAATCACTGCATCATCCCACAGTGCCACAGCCATGCAGCCAACACCTAAGATACTCCCCTCCCCAATAAATGTGAGTCCTGGCCCTAGAATGGCTGCATATTACAGCAAGATGCACCAAGGATACTTAACTATTCCCTTTCAGTGGGACTTTCAGGCAAAATACTTTAAAAAGTCACAGTGCTTGGCAATGAAAGAAATTCAAGTAGAAGGAAGACAAAATAGTCCTTTCCCTAACAAGTTTTTTGGAGTGCTAGTCTTTTACTTCTTTAGTTCTTCCATAGTTCCTAGCACAGAGTTAGAGCCATGGTAGATACTTAAGCACTTAGTGACCAAAGCAGACTACATGACAATCAACCAAGTGCTAGAATTAAGTGTTACAGAACTCTAAATATTATGATTCACATGAGGCTAGAAGCATTAGAAAAAGTTTTAAGGAGGCAGAAGTCAATCTACACAGGGTGAGGAACAACTTTTGGGGATCTGGCCAACCTATGCTATCACTCCTCTCCTGCCCTCCTTGAACAGTGGTATGTCTCTATAGTCAGATTTATACTCTTCAATATGACATTTTTCTTTAATCCATTTGCTAAATTCTAAACAAAATTATCTTCAATCTGACGTTCTATGCTTATTTAACCTAATATAACCTATTAGCTATAAAGGACCAAGTGGTAGAAGGTAAAAAACTACAAAGAATTCATTATGCTACCTGTTGCATAAATGAAGCGGAACATAACATTCTATATAGTACATCCATCTAATAACGTGAGAATTAAGAGATTCTAAAATTGAAGAGTTTACATACTTTCTGAAGGGCCAATATTAAGATCGAAATAATAACTGCACTAGCCATTATTTTCCACGCACTGAACATGGGCATTTATGTGCATTTTTTTCCAATATAACCCTGAAAGCTAAGAAAGCTGAGGCTGAGCGGTTAGGCGACTTCTTCAACTACTATACAGCTAACAAGACAAGTGTTCTTTTTTAGACACTAAACTGACCAAAACTGCAAAACAAAAAATCCCTGAAGTTTTGGAGAACTTCAAGTGCTTTGTTGAGAGAATTTAATTTAAAATAACAAAAACTTTCCTAGGAAGCACATAAGTTCAAGGTATATAATATCCTTCAACTAAAAAAAGCCTTTCTAAAACATATGGGTAAATATAGACTGCTCTACTACTAAATTAATCAGCTTTGGTGAAGTAAATCTGAAATGTACTTGCATGATATTTTCAATAATAAAAATGCTCTAAGAAAAAGAAAATTACCAGCTACACATCTACTTGACAAAGATTTTGAGTTTTGAAAGGAAAAAAATAATAGATTTGAGAGAAACTACAGGAGTAGGAATAAAAGAAATGTTTTAAAAATTGTTTTTCTTCTGATATGGCAAAATATCACAATGGAATAACAGCAGTAGTATTATCCAAAGCTAAATGATGTCAGGCTTTTAAACATTCAATAAGCTATAAAGCGTTGGGACCTCTGTAATTATTTCAAACTGTATGAATGTTACATTATCAAACCATGGGACAAGTACAGTCTTGTATGAAATGACTGTATGAGATCAAATAATCACATCCAAAAGAAATTACATACTTTCTGTATTTAAACTGTGCACACTATGATCAGTCTAATCTACATGGTTACCAACTCTTCACATTCACAAAATGCCATCAATGCAGTCATTATCCACTTGTAAAGGCTGACTTCAAGTAATCCCAAGTCATAAAAATGTTAAACATTAATCGAATCTCAACAGCATCAATGTTAACCCAAAATAACGATTTTGTACCCTGAAGAAATAAAAGTCATATATGGCCATAAAAAATAGAATTACAGAAATCAACAGAGTTTATAGGGATGGTTTTCTGTTCACATAGTATAACTACTTTGCAAGACCCCAGAAGGTCTTTCTGTACATCCTCCACAGAAAAAACCAATTGTCCTGTTTCTCTCTCTTTTTTTAGACTCTGCCCCTCCCTCGCCAATTTTTTTATATAGTCCTCTCCCAAAAGGTTTACATTACAGAAAATGATTTATGCCATTATCAGGAACAGCATGTCCCAAGACGTAAGATTTCTATGATCCTTTGCATATTAAGATTGCAGGAATTGAGCTTTAATAATTCATAGACCACAAACACACCCTCTTAAGATTTTCCCTTCAAACACTAACGTTCCCACTCTTGGGACCCCTAATGGGTACACATAAGCCATACAATACAACCTTTAAAAAGGACACAGATGGTAGGTGTTCTCCACTCTCTCCCAAGAGACATCCTCACCTAACCCTCCTGCAAATTCCTTCCTCCGGGCCCACAAGTAGAACTGTCATTCAGAGAGGTGCTAACTGTTAAGCGTAGGTGAGAAAGTAAGTGTACACGAGAGAGATAACTGGATGGGGAAGGTGGTTAAATGCAGCCTCTTTCGTATCACGTAACTAACCTAACCCGCTGCAAACTTTTAAGAGATTAAGTTATATTCCTCTGCAAGTCCACCTTTGACAGCTGAATCCAACGATGCTAGAGTCGTGCACGTCCATTCCCGCCACCTCACCCGTGGAGCGCCACATCCCGCGGTCAGCACAGACCAGTCGCTGGGGAAGGAAGGAGGGCTGGCGAGAGGGCTACAGGGAGAAGGCCGGGAGAGCTCACCTTTTCCAGCTCATCGTGGAGCTCCGCCAGGCTGGGCCGGAGCAGCTTCTCGCCCAGCTGCGCTGCTGTGTGCCGGTAGTGGTCGATCCTGGGCACGGCGTCCATGGTGTTGTGGCCGAAGGTGCGCAGGTAGTAGGTGTTGGTGTGAGTGTCATAGTAGTAGTGCTGGTGGTGCCCACTGCCGCCGCCGCCCGAGTGCAGGCTGCTGCCCTCGCTCAGCACCGTGTCCCCGCCGTTCTGGAAGCTCACGTTGGGCCCGTCGCCTCCAACCCCCGCCGCATCCGACAAGCTCTCGTCCGCCGACGAGGAGGCAGCCGGGTCCACGAAGTTCACGTGGAAGCGGCTCTTGGCTTCCTCACTGCCCTTGGCTGGCCCGCTTTCACTGCTAGCTTTCCCGTCTGCGGGAGTCTCCTTGGCCCCCGCCCCAGCACCAGCCGCCGCCGCCGCAGCAGCAGCACGCCCGGCGTTCTCGGAAACCAAGTCCACCTGGAAGCGGCTCTGGCTCGGGGTGGGCCCCAGGGGTCTGCCCAGCCCGTCCCCGGCCGCCGCGGCGCCCTCACCGCGGACCCCGCCGCCGCCCC